TGGGAATAGATTCCGCACATGATCTTGTAAGATGTTGCGTGACACGATGTGACATGTCCATCGTGTGGAGTGGTGAAGAGGGCACAAACATCGCGGGACGGGGCCCATACTAGGCCTTTCATTCGAGGCTGCCGAATTCCAAAGGAGGGCTTCTCGCTTCTGAAAGACATGATACAGAGGCAGCATGTTTGCTTGCTGTTTCTGTGGCAAAAGATTCGTCGTGGCACATGCAAGGGTGGTGGTGTGTCCTTGCGACCAGCCACGTGCCTTATCAAATGCCGCCAAAGCATTTGCTCTTCGGTTTTGGGTGGACTTCTGCAGATGTCAGATCCGTTCCACAGGGACTGATGACTCCACACAAAAGATTCCCTTGAGCCATGATTTTGCTGGCACTTGGCATTCGCGTGCTGTGTTCAATTATATATGAGGACAGCACGCTTGCCTTTTCGAGTTTGCTAATGAGAAAAGCAGAAAAAGCGTAACAGTAAGACAAAAGTGAACAACATCATCTTTTCTCCCTGTTTTCTCAATTCGGTATAAAGCGCTGTAACTGAAACAAAGGAAAACAGCATGAACAAGTTTTGTTCATGACTTTTTCTGTTCCTTGCCAAGACCTGTTCGCATTACATGATAATTCTGATAAATCCAGCCTAGTTTTGGTGTAAGCGAGAAGGAGAACAAAACCCATTGTAGTACAATGAAAATCCAGGAAATGCCCGGTTCCTCTAGTTAAGGCGAGGTCCCAATGTGTATGCTTCAATGTCGCCACTTTGATAGTGAATTGTGTCGCTTGCATCTCCCGAACCCATCAGCATGCTTCCTTTATCTAGAATCTCAACATCTACGAGAACCAGTATTCAAGCACTGGAGAAAACCTAAACCTAACACACCTAGACATACTAAGCATAATTTTCGCGACTCTTGGACTGGAGCTGCTGATTAAGCGAGTCATGGAGAACAGATTTCTGAGGTTTTTAGATTCACGTGGTTTATTGTGTTTTCAATGTGAGAGTTGTTCTAAATCTCCGCCGCTTGACCGTAAGCCAACAGCGCACTTTAATATTTTGGTGCAGGTTTAGGACCTGCTCTAAAGCCAGCACGACGCAAGCGCGCAAGGGCGAGCACAAGAGCGTTCAAGCACAACCAGAGTGAGGAACAATCCCCATGTAATTAGGTTTTGGTGTTTTTTTGGTTGCTAAAGCTTTGCTTTGGTTTGTTAGGGTGTTGGGAGCCCCCCCCCCACCCGCTGGAAAAGTTCTTCAAGAACGATGTTGTCGAGGATGGGGAGGCTGCAGGGAGCCAATAAGATAAGGATCCCAGCCTCAAAACCTACAAACACAACTCATGCATGCATGCATTCTACATCTGCACATATGTACATGTCTGTAGCTAACTGAGGGGTGAGTGTGTGTGTGTGCTACAGAAGCTCAAAGGGTCAAGATGAGGATCTGATGGATGGACACCTCTGATGTCTGCCTGCGGCGGTGGACACCTTGCCGTAGCACAACTTCTCCTCGATGCGGGTGCTTCTGTGGACGCAGCAGCCGATGACGGCTTCACAGCTCTTATGGAGGCAAGGCATGTGACCGGTGTGCGATGTCGTGGAGCCACAGCTTCTGTTTCGCAGGCCTGCACTGGTGGCCATGTTGACCTCGTCGCGCTTCTCTTGGAGCACGGGGCCAGCATCGCCCATGCAACACCCAGTGGCCGCACGGCAGTGATCATGGCCAGCCTGCATCTCGGCGGCGAACGAGAGATCAGAAAGACCGAAAAAGCAGATTCAGCTTGACATCTGACTGCAAGTTGTCGCACAGAGTGAAAAGCGACTGTTGTGAGCAGGTATGGGCACACGGAAGTTGTTGGACAGCTCTTGTCCAAGGGTGCCGACCCAAAGCCGAACAAGTTCACGGCCCTGCACGCGGCCTCCGGAAACGGCCAGGCTCGGGAGAAATCGGAGACGTGAGGCCGTTCTTGGAGTTCTCTCTCCCTCGGAGGCGGGCGTGGTGGAGCTTCTCCTGCGTGGCACCGAGTTGCTGGCGGAGTCCGAGGAGACGTCGGAGGCGCTGATCTCGGCTTGCGCCAATGGGCAACTAGGCCGAAGTCGCTTCTAGAAGCGGAGTGTTCCGGAGCGTAGCAGAGTAGCGGATGCGACAAACCCTGATGAAGTGCGGAGCTATGAGAAGCGTCCTCGGGAAGAGGGATGTCTCTGAAATCACAAGCATCTTGCCGTGCGTCTGTGCATCAGAGACAGACAGCAACGAAAAGAGGCCAGAGAAGTTAGCTTTCTGCTATAGACTCTGTCTGGCATGGACATTTGAGCATCAGCAACTACCCTAGAAAGACAATAAAGACACTTGGGGACGAGGTGGGACAAAAAAGCATGGTGCACCGGACTTGACTGAGGCACGCGGGAGTGGCCCAGCTGCTGCTGGAATTCGGAGTTTCTCCCTGTGTTTCGGCATCGGATGGTACCACTGCCCTCATGAAGGCCAGGCATGAGATCGTCGGTCATGGCTGGCAAATGGTTGAAGCAGCGCAGCAATGTCTTGCAGCATGCGAGGCATGCATGGGAAGCCACAGAGAGGTGGCTGCCGAGCTCATCCTTCGAGGGGCCAATGTGCCTTGTTTCGGCATTTGCGGCACAGAGCAGAGAGAGCAGAGGGAGGACGAGTCGGAAGTCCTGAGCTGGCTCCCTGTGAGGTGGAGGAGGCCTTGAACTCGGCACGACGCCGCAAGATGCCTGGCGTCACGCGTGTGCTGCAGCGAGCCGTGGAAGAGGCCCAAGCAATGCGAGGCCGGGGGACTGGGGGAAAATTGCGCGGAATCGAAGGCCTCCTCGAGACTGCTCGGAAAGTGCAGGGCCGCGGCCAGAACAGCGCGACCTCGAGAAGCTCGTGAGGAAGATCGAGGGGCCACCAAAGGCGACCCGCGTTGAAGAGCCGGACAGCCGTGGACGCTTCGTTGCTTTGATCATCGCTTTGAGGCGCTGAAGCGCTCCCGGCACCTCTCCACGGGCACGGCCTCGACCTCCACCGCCGTCGCCGAGCCCTCGGCCACGTCCCCAGAGCTCTGCCCCACCCGCGGCCACGGCTTGCTGTCATGCGCTGGCTTTGGGAGGAGACTCAGACGACGGCCGCTGCAGAGCACCTGGACGCGTCACCGAGGACCGCCCGGCGCGCCGGCGCGCACGAAGACTTGTCGAGCATCTTGGAGACTGCAGGAGGCAGCCCGAAAGCCCCTTTGGCACCTTGGAACTGGGAGAGACACGCTTTTCGCGTGCTTTTGCAGGCAGCAGACTGCCACTGCTGTTCATTCGGCACAGTTTTGTGGCTGCAGGAGATGATCACTGTGATCAGGCTGCGACCAGTCGCTTGGCATCCTTTTCTGGATTCAATGATTCAACACTAGCACACTAGCATCATCTAGCCGCTAGCTAGCATCCATCACGACGTGCCTCGAGGTTGCTCAGAGAGGGAGGTGGCGTTGGAGGAGCCGCGACCAGTGAATGTTTGTCTCTTACTGGGACTGCAAATCATAGACAAAGTTCAACGGTTCAACGTAGTTCTTCGCAACGATGTAACGGTATCGGAATGTGTCGGAATTGTTCAGGATGACGTGGAAGAAGAAGTTGAGAACTTTCTGCAGCTTGGTGCGTCTGGTGGACTATCGGGCAAGGAGCAGGTCACATCATCAGCTGCAGTCGAGAATCACAGCATTGGCTGCAACAGACGGTTCGAAGGAGAACAGGCCGAGTGACAGACCTTTCGTGCTACCCTGGAGAGAAGTGCTTGAGAATCGTGGCATGCACTTTGGAGGATACCAGCACTTTCGAAAAGAGTTTGAACGCCTTTGCTCTCGCAACTGAGGAGAACAGCAGCAAAGTTTCCAGAGCGCACGGACTCCCGCCGTTCGGCTTTATTTTGCGAAAATGGGGTCAAGGGAGGACATCACTATTCTCCGCAGCACAGGTGTAGCCTCCGAGGGCCAGTCAGTGCGGCACATGCTGGCATACTGCCGCTGTGCCTTCTACACCATCGAAGTACTGGGGGAGGCCACCTGCAGTCTTTTGGGGGATGTCGCAGCACTTGAGCTGTTGCAGGTGGAGCCGTCATCGCCAGTGTCTTGGGCTTCAGGTGCACTGTCCAGCATTCACGAGATGGCAAGCGAAACATGTTGAGCGCAAGTGGTGCTGCTACACGGCGCAATGGCAGGTGCTTGAGCCGCGAGCAAGTCAGCTGTGTTTGTCTCTCTTCTGTAGATACTTTCCATGTGCCTTCACCCCTGGGAGTGCTGAATTCCATTGCTCGAAGCTGTGGGTGTATGGCTTCCCCCGCGGAGGTGCCGCTTTGTCGAAACGAGCGTACATCTTAAGACTCTTCAAACGAACCCGTGCGGCAGCTCCGCTCTGATGTAGCTCGCTGTTCGGCGCTTGCAACCAGCAAAGTCTGCCAGACAAGATGGTTTCACTTGTGTTTATTGTAGAGGTTGCCCACAATCACACGCTTTCGGAGGGATTATCAGGGATTCCTCTCATGCCAGCGCAGAGGTTACGCGGGGCCTGGGCAATTTGTGACCAAGACTCGAACACCGGCGGTCGGATCAAAGATGAGTGAGCATGCAGAGTGAACCCCCCGGGGCTATTTTGGGGCGATCAGAAGAATCCTGTTCCAACATGTTCCCTCACAGTCCTTTCACGTACCCCCTGAAGCGAAAAGCCACAGCGTTACAGATAGCCACCTCAGAATTAGAGGATGTTGCTCCCAGCCGCTGCCTGCTCTCACCTCCAACAGACGTACAACCATCCTCTTGCTGCTGTGCTATATTCCCGACATGTGCAACAGGCGGCTTACAGGATTTTGTGCGAGGGTGTTTTATTGCTAAGCCGTGACATTCGGAACACCTTGTGTAGTCTTGTTTTAACTTGGTTTTTAAGGCATCGTATCTTCGTCGGGCTCTTCTTTGTCATCATCATCAGCAGCTGCTATATATGATATTCTGTTTCAGCACCTGAACTGGATGTTGCCCACATGTTGGCAATCCAGTTATGTCCGAGTCTTGACATAGCTACTGCATCACTGTGCCATAGTTTGCCTGAGCACCGGGGCGAATCTTTTTGCAGCACTTGCGTGTGGGACATAACGCGCCTTCTCCATGCCTCTGCAACTACTTTCATCGACCACTTTGGCCCCCATCCATCGTGGTTTAAGGGCTTTTGGGTTCTGCAGCTTCTGTTTGGGAATGTTTCGTGGCTAGACTCGGAATTGCCAAGCTCAAATACTTACAGGTCATGTCGAAATGCACTCGTTCCAGAATCGTGAAAAATCTGTAGGCAACATGAAGGATATAGCTACAATAGCACTGCAAACTACCTGCGTTCTGGGTATGTTCGCAGTAGTTGTCAATAGGAATGGGCGCTTGCGACTGCACTTTATGCTCTTATTACAATCGTCAAGCAGCTTCGGGGTCCAATGTCCGAAAGATGACTATAAGTCGTCAGTACCACTGGCGTCAGAGCAACTGTTGAACGAAGTTCAGCACTGATAAGGCGGCTCTTCTGACCTGCTGGCTTGTCATGAGCAGCCGAGATACATCGAATGCAGATCCAACAAACATTCCAAACAGCAAGAACGATGAGTTGTGTGAAGCAGCGAAACCGTATTTCTACAAATGGAACTGCATCAAGACGTACAGCTCTGATGAAATGGTCAAGGGCACGGAAGGCATGCTGGGCCATCGGCACCAAAGCAGTGTTTAGTTGATGTTGCCGTCAAGAGTCAAGAGTATCTAGACCAGCTCGTCGACGACCCCAGGCGTGACACCGGGTCCTGCTATAGGGTCCAGATGCTGTGGCCTCCTGCAAAACCTTTTACCGAAATCGCAGTCTTTGCGCAAATTCGCACCCGCCGCATGTATGGGGGAGGCAGAATTCATTAGTGCTTGTGTTGTTCCTGCTTCGCAAAATTTGCCGGCCTTTCTGCGCATGTAGGTACAGAACCGAACCATCAGGTCATCGTGTGCCTTCGTCGTACCTTGACCCACTTTTTCTGTAGTTTGAAGTTATTGCTTCCGTATGCGTGTGCTTTCCATTATTCGCGGTTAGTTAACATTAGCGATTGAAAGCCTTCAATTGCACTTGTAAACTGCAGAGACTGCTGCACGCGCAAGCGCACCGCGCAAACCGCTGCAACCCTGAAACGATTCCCAGCAGCCGTAGCTTTGTTTTTTTTCTTAGGCGGGTGATGGCGGGCGGTATAGCATGTTCCGTCCAGCTAAAGCAGCAAGGAAAGACTGTTGTCAAGAGCCTTCGTCATCGCGTACACAGTCAGTATGTGTGTATATGTATATACATATATATATATATGTATGTATGTATGTGTGTATGTGCATGTACATACACACATACATATTTATAGACCACCTGCCATCCATGGGTTCGCTGGTATCGCAAGGTTTTGATCGCTTGTTCATGCTCTGCCTGCATGTGCCTGGCCGGTTACACCGAGAATCGCGACAGAGCACTGCATGGTAACGGAGCATGAGAGGACCTCACCTCTGTGCAGTCCGGAATGGATGGTTGTGAACGCCTTCTGGCGGCTTGCCGCAATGCAGGCGATTGTAGTGCAACCGCAAATAGGGTATTTGGGGATCATCCTGAGCAGGTCTGACCATTGCGCACAGTCGGTCTCATCGCTACGGCTCTGTGGTGCGGGATGACCTCGCCGGGTCCTTAAGTTTGACCGCGCTCCCCCGGGCACGACCGTTTACGATATGTCTAAGGTTGGCACGCCTGACGAAGGGTACGAGCTTCACCCACGGATGAGAGCCCGTGAAGGCGAGATCGTGGTGTGCGGCTTGGTCAGCTTGCGGTTCTGCACACTGTGCCACATTCTGTGCTTGCTGTGCTTCGGGCCTTGATTGCTTTCATATCACTCAGGTCGACAAGTGGACGTACGGTGCCTTCGCATCTACGCGACCTCGGCCAGCAGTCTGCAAAGGAGTTGGGTGGCTTACGGCGTAACGAGGTACTTGGAGCGAGAGCTCCGTGCTCGAGGTGTCAGGCGGATTTTGCGAGTCCCCCAGTGGCCCAGGCGAGTACTGGGCCTTAGCAGTCTGTGAGCTCTGAGGCTGTGCGGTGTGCTGACCAATGTCTGCGTCTTCGCAACAGCTTCGCAGGCGCGGGCCCACGGAGTCACAGAGATCAATTTAATATGGAATTCAGTTTTTCTAGGGTTTTTTGTTTTTCTCTGGGAATTTTTTGTGTTTTTCGTTTTCTGCTTGCTGGGTCCTCTGGTCTTTGTGGTCCCGTGGTCCTCTGGTCTCGCTGTCCTCTGGTCCCGGAGTCCCGTGGTCTTTTGGTCCTCTGTTCCATGGGTTTAGGGTCTTCGGTCCCGCGGTTTTCCGACTCTCTGCTACATCATTTTTTGGCCCGCTGCTTTCTCTCCTTGGTCCTCTGGTTATGATGAGCCGGAATCGCAAATGGATATTTATGGGCTTTACGTTGGTCGTTAGTGTTTTTGTTGTTTGCTAAATTTCAATTGGTTTTCGCCAAATGAGGGGGCATGTTTAGGATGTATGTTGAAGCGGAGTTGCCAAATGAGGGGGCGTGGTTAAGATATCTGATGAACGGAATCGCCAATTGAGGGGGCGTGTTTCAGATATATGATTTATGTGATGATCCGGAATCGCCAAATGAGGGGGGATTAAGGATGTAGTTGAACTGGAATTGCCAAATGAGGGGGGATGTTTACGGTATGAGCACCAGCACCAGCAACAGCAGCGGCACGACAAGCAGCAGCAGCAGCACGACAAGCACCAGCACCACCAGCAGTAAAATCCCCCAATAGCTTGACGCACAAACAAACCCTGAAAAGTGGAATCCCCCAATAGCTTCATGCACAAACAAACCCTGAAAACCAGAATCCCCAAATAGCTTGACGCACAAGCAAACCTTGAAGACTAGAATCCCCCAATAGCTTGACGACAAACAAACCCTGAAAAACGTCAAACTTTTGAAAGAAAAACCCTCCACCTGGTCCAACGGGCCAAATATATTCTCGCAGGCTTTTGGTACAAATCAGAAAACCAAAAAATCGTCAATTAATTCTGCGCCCATTTAGAATGTCCAGTCTCAGTACATATTCAAGCCGCAAGCCCCACCGCAGGCTGTGGATCGCTTCATCCCGGTTTGCCTGGTCGAAGATGCATGCCTGCTGCTCAGAAAGGCAGCGATGCTCTCGCCAAGTTCCTGCATCAGCCACCACTGTGGAGACAGAAGGTATGCAGAAGCACTTCCCCGACAGTCAGGTGCAGCTTTTCAAACAGACTGGCACCAGAAGGCGCTGACGCTCATCAACGAGCTTGGGCCTCTGGTCTTTTGGGTTCCACAGATGTCGTTCCTGCCACGGCCCGTCCGAAGGCCCCAGACGCAACCGGGGCACAAGCGAGGCTGTGGCCTTTACTTCGGGGAGGTCACACAGGCACATCTAGAGCGCCGATTCTTCAAGCCTTGTACAATTTTTTGGCTCGGCGTCCAGGTTGAAAAAGTGGAGGCTGCTCTGAAAGACATTAAGTAACTGCCTGGCAGCCGCACATCCCACGGCACTGCTGGATGATAGCACTTTTGCTTTACTGCAGCCGAATGTGGTCACCCATGGAGCGGGGCGTGGCCGGTGTCACTCCCAACGCTCCAAGGGGCCCAGGCGATTTCGTTCTCCCGGCAAACCGCCGCGGCATATCATGTCCCGGAGGAGAAGTTTACAGCTGTACGAAAGCGATGCTGGTTTCTCCTCTGGTGAAATTCTCTTGATGGCAACGCAGAGCTTGAGGCTGATTCAAGAGGCCTGGTTATAATTTGTCAAAAGCCGGGCAGAAAGAACAGCAGCAGGCTCCGCACTTGCATCTATGACTTTGCGCAGCTGAGGCTTTTGGAGCGAACAGGAGTCTAAGAGCTTGATCGCATTCATGTGCATTCACGTGCTTCATCCGCAGTAAGATGCCCATTGCACCACGGCTTTAGGAGGCGGGCATCCTGACTGAGAGGACGGACAGCCGACTGTATCCTGGTGGCCCTTTCGCCGCAAAGAAAAGCTAATGTTGGCGGCAGGGCTGGTGAGGTCGACTTGTCCCCCTAACAGCGAGCATGACTTCGCCTCACACGACTTCCGATCCTGATGCTAGCCCTTGCCTCCCCGCTCGCGCATTGACTGCAGCCGGCAGACAGACCTTGTTCTTTCTCTCCGGAGCAGATAAACTCCCTCAACAGGCGTGGAAGGCCTGAGTTTACTAACACTGGCATCACGTTGTGGGACTGGCACGGATGCTCCTTGTCCTTATCACCCCAGCTCGCATCAGCTCGGCCCTAAACCCCAAACCTGTGGCGTGACGGCTCGAGCAGCAAACTCACCTCCGCACCTGCACGGGCCTTTTTGAACCTGTTTTGGCACCATGGCTGGCCTCTCTGACACAGCCTGCACCCCTGCTCGAAGTCTTTGTGGGCCTGTGACCCGTGTCCCGTAGACGACCCCTACCCGAGACACTCTGTGAGCCACGCGCGGCCACCAAGGCCTTCAAAGCTGCCAAGTGGGGTGCCAACATGTGCCAACCTTGGCTAGTGGCGAGCTGTGGCCTCCCTCATCCATCACGGGGCAGGCCATTCATGCCGCCAGTGACCGCCTTGGCGAACGGAGGTTGCTTGATTCCGTCAGCTGCTAGATGCAGGACCACAAAAGCAGTACTGAGTATGTTAGAAGGTAGCATGCAGCAATGTACAGGGCCATGCAGAACCGAATTTTCCGGGCGCCATTTTTTGTGTGTCTGTGGACATAGACGAGACATGCGCAAGTAGTCGCACATACTCAAATGCTGAATTCATTCTCGGCCTGAGCCAAAAAGTTGGAGTCCATCGGAAGGGGTTGCAATCACACGGTTGAATGTATAATCAGCCATGCTGGAAAGTGTCTGGCGACGCTGAGTTTACTGTTCGGCACTCACTTCACACAACAAATGTGCATTCTCAGCCGTTTTATGCAAACCTTGAAGACAGGCATCACGAGCATTTTCAAGTAAAAGTTCGCAAGCAGAGACCTGCAGTCCGCGGAACCAAGCCGTCTCGTCAGCGCAGCTTACCATGCCCCCATGAGCTTGCTTGGGGAGCCTCCGCCACAATCCGAGCGCCAGGACCCGCAGCCTGAGAATGGGAGTGCGAGTGGTCCATCCTTGCCGGCAGGAACTAGCTCCATGCGCCCGTTATGTCCCAGTGCCAAAAACGACTCGGGTGGAGGTGTGCCCCTCACAAAGGGTTCGACTTCTATGGTGCAGCGGTTTGTCCGTGGCTTGTCGTCTGAATCCTTGTTTTGTGAGTTCAGATTGAGGTGCAGGATCGTCGTGTTGGCCGGCAAGCAGAGGACGTCTGCTTGGTTGCACACCAGAGTCGAGCAGGTAGATGCGTTCGGCCTTCACTTTGTCGTGCAGAGGAGACGCGCCGCTGCAACTTACGAGCTCAAGCCTCTGGGATAGGTCACGGTGAGTTGAAACAAGGGCTGACGGACACAAGGTTGGCGCTGTGCCTAACGCTGCCGGATCTGCCTACGTCGAACAGGTAGCGGCCCGAGCTCGTAGAATGAGGACCGTGTGCTGTGGCCCTGTGGCTTCCCTTAACTTCCCTTCGCAGCTGTTGTGCAGCAGGGCAACACGAAGATCATCGCTTCGGTATACGGTGCTGGGCTCACTTCCAGTTGCATGTTACATCATTTTGCGTTCATCGGAACCCATCAGCACCAGCTGAGAATCTACGGTGGTGGCGTGATGTTTGTGCCTTTGTGCTTTGTTTATTTTATTTCGGGTCGCCGGTTTTGCGCACAAAATGGAACCAAAGCAAGCAAACAAGCCAGCCAGTCAGCAGGGCAGCAAGCAAGCACTCAAGCCGCTGGGAAGAGAGCTCAAGAAAGCTGTATTTTCAACAGGTTTAGCAGATGGAACGAACCACGATCGCAATCGTTTGATGGGGGAGGCCGGGTTTCAAAGACTTTGAGCAACCGCCATCGTTTGACTATTGTCGCTGCTAGTAATTACTCTATCTTCTATCCATCGCCGGATGAGGGGACGAGTTCAGGAAATGGGATCCACTGCCGTGACACTGTCATCGCCGATTGAAGCGTCATGTGAGAACTCAAGCATGGTTGGAGTAGGACGTACAGCCAGCAAGACAACGGAGAATCAGTCACTACAACAGACAAAGATCAATAATCTCGCGAGAATCTGCAAGCCGGTGGTTGCTGTGGACGTGAAACTTTGTTGCAACATGTTGCAACCCTTGTGTTGATGGAACGCTGACGGCCTTAGAAGCACACTGGGCCAAAAGTGTTGTGAAAAGACTGGAAAATTAAAGAGCTCATTCGAAGCTAAAATATTCTTGGTGAATTAGAACCATGGTGCATGACGAAGTCAAAAGGACCGGCCCGAGTGCCAGCAGATTGGAACCTTGCTCGTACAAGTAGAGCACGCGCTATGTGACTACATTGACATGACAGTCTAAGGCCCCCGCCAGGCAGAACGGGACCGACAGCAGGCGGGTTCCCAAGCTGCGGACGACACTTGGTAGGGTCGTCGCAACAGTTCGATCTCGGGATAGGCGAGAGCCGAAGGCCTCCTGGCTGTGGAGGTCCTTTTCGCACCCTTCTGCCGGGCGCTTTGGAGTCAGCCGGTGGTTGATTGGATTTCCAGGGACGTTTCCTGACAGTGAGTTCGATCTCGGGAAGCATGACCCGAACCGCCGTCCCTGTCCCCACTCCGCGCTCGGTGGGTTCAACGGTTGGTTTTCGCATTCACTTCCCTGGAACACAACAGCTCACTCGAAAGCCGTTTCAATCAGAACTAAGTTTTTGACCGTTTTGGCCACTCGTGCCAAATCTTGCCAAAGCCAGGCTTATTTGGTGTCTAAAGTGCGGGCCCCTAAATGTGGAGCTCCGGAACATAGGCCAGAAGGTTGACACAGGCAGCCTGGGATACACCGGAACGAGACTAGTGGATCTAAGGTCAAGGCCGAGTAAAAGCTTCTAAATCACGTTCCATTGCCTTTTTTGACTTGTGGTGGTGTCCTTTGCCCTGATGGTGGTGTCAGGTACCAAGGAGTTCAACCGCGAGGAGTCGGCTCGACCAAAGCCTCGGAAAAATGCACTTAAGAGAAAGCCTTCGCCTTCGCTTCGAGCTTCCTACCCTGAGGAGAACGAGAAGAGAGAGATCCTTTACAAGTCCCTGCTTCAGGGGGCTCTGGAGCTGGCTCCCCAGGAAGACGGTGGAGTCCACTATTTTTCGTCGACGTCTCGACATGTCTCGACGTCTTGAGGTCGGTGATTTTGTTGGAGAGGTATGCAAAGACAGCCTTCGACATCACACTTCTCATTTTGGAGGCATCGCGGCACGATTACCTTGCTGCCAGCCCAGCAACAGCCCCAGCATTCGGTTAGGACGACGGTGCCGTCCTCACCTCGTGCCTGGCAGCGGCTGCGATGGCGGGGCACTCACAAGTGACAGAAGCCCAAGCCCTGTACTCTGAGCAGACTTGACTGAGAAGATGCACCCATGTTGAGATCCGGTCCTTAAACCTTGACTTGATGCCGCCAACATCCACGAGCTTTCACAGCCACCGCCAAATTGTCAGTATGCCGCAGGTGGGAGGCTGGCCGACACACCTTTGTGCAACATTGCGTAAACGCACCTTTCTCCCCCCAAACCTGTGAAGGCTCAATGTATTTCAGAATCCATTCGCCAACCCTTTACCCGCAGTCGTAGTGTGTCAAAGGCAAGCAGGGCCTCCAGCACTCCTCCAGCCCTTCCTCAACCGAATCAGCACAGTTGTAGCCAGGCAGAGCGAACTGAAGCAGGTTGCGGTGTCCTGCCCTATGTCCTTGTTTCGTTGAAGGCCCTGGCAGATGCACGAGTGGAAATGAGGGATCTAGTGGCAGGCACTTGCCCTTGCAACGTGGTTGTGCTGCGACAGAAGCAGATGTGGCGAATATATCCCGGAGGTGCCACGGTCCATTTGCTTCCCGAGTCAGGTGCAAAGGGACGTTGGCCATTCCAGGTCTACGCGTAGCAGACTCATATCAACAGTGTTCGCCGTTTCGAAGGCAGACTCTTGCTCGACTGCGACCGTGAAGAGGCATACGCTCAAGTGGAACAGGTGGTTGTGCATGGTATTGATCTGCGCAAGGAGCGTTCTTTGCCAGAAGGGAGCTCTGTGCTCCACTTGGGGCTCTGTCCAAGACGAGGTGTGACATGCTTCGATGGGAGACTTCACGACAACTTGGGCGCTTTGCAGGCCATCTTTGCTTGTTGCACAGTGTCGAAGCCTTCGTCGCAGATGGGCAGAACGCACTAGAACGCGCTAGAACGCACGGTCGACATTCTTGGTGTGCGGGCCTTCTCGAGGTCGGGCCACTGCCCCCTGGGCCTTTCGAGCAAATGGCACCCTCGCTCAGCGAAGCGCGGCTTAGCTAAGCTCGCTTTTTTGCCCATGTGCGATCATCCGCGAAGTGCAAGCGCCTGCAAGCGCGCACGCGTCACTGCATCCTTGGCTCAAGCGTCATGTCTGGAACCGGAACGTCTCCACGTCATGGCCGGTACCCTGGATTCTTCACACAAGCTCGAGTTTGTTCTCGAAGGAGGTATCATCGCACATGTTCTCTCGCATCTCGTCATCTCACTTCTCAGGGCACTGCACGAGCTAATGCTCACTGCTTATCGATGACTCAGCGAAAGGCAAGACGTCTGCTCCTGAGTGCATGTTCCCATCCAGGCAATCGCCTCTGAAAAAGCTTCTGCATGGCCACTTATGCCGAGGCCTGCCCTCAACCCTCGCCACACTGACAGGTGCAGGTCTGGCCGAAGGGAAACCGAACGGAGTCTTCGATTTTTTCTCGCTTGCGATGAGGCCTCTCTTCACAAGCGGCCCATGCATTCGCATCACCTGTGAGGAGTTCGGTGCAGGTAAGGACGGTCAGTCGTAGGCATGCGACGGGGTGCCATGACCACCCCTGTCCTGAGGCAAGTATTCACATGGCGCCTCCAAGACAGCTCTCATTCTGCAAGGTGCCGGGGCATGCTTTGCGTATGTGTGCATGCAGTCATGTTCGCATGCGCACAGGGCCTGCCGTGCTTCCAGCAGACCAGCGCCCGCACCGCGAGCCAGCTGGCCGCTGTAGGTGCCGGCTCCGAGTGTTTCCAAGGGGTTCTTGCATCTGTGGGCCGATCTGTCTCACTGCAGCTCACCCCTGCGATGTTCGCATGCTCGTCTGTGAGTGGTTGCCACATTCCTGTTTCGAGCTTTTGAGTGGATGCAGTCATTGACGACAGCAGGGCTGCGCTCGGGCTTATCCCCTGAGCCGACGATTGGGAAAGCATCATTGCTTCTTTCGATTGATGTTTGGCTGCGTGCCTGTCAATAGGGCGCTGAGTCTAAAGCATGAAGCTGCACCGTGGACGTCCTTGTTCAGCTCTTGCACTGTTCATGTTCAGTGATCGTTCATGCTCAGGTCCAGGTCACGTCTTCTGATTCTATAATTGATGCTCAGATCCTTTCTTGCCAATGCTCGCGTATACGAAGAAGCACACGAGGAAAGCCAACACCAGAGCTGAGCAGCAGCGTAAGCATGTGTACACACCGCGAATTTGCAACCAATGTCAATTTGTTTCCATTGTGTGTGCGATGCAGTGAAATCCGTACTTGTAGTTTTCTCTTTACCATTCAGTTTCATGTATCTCGAAAGTCAAAAGTCTTAGAGCTCTGTGGATTAGTTGAGCCAAGATGCGCGCCAAAGTGTCCAATAAGGTGTTTCAGTGTTTGTGTATATGATTTTTGAAATTTGTGTATTATACATACATGTGTTTTTGACTTTGAGTGCCCTGCAAGGTTGTCCAAGCTTAGCGACAGTCGGTGAGACAGGCGCATACAGTACAGTCGGCGAGACAGGCGCATACAGTAGTCGCCCGGCCATGATGGCGTGTCATTTGACACTCCCGTAGAGAGAGCTGGCATCCCGAGCCGAGTCTCTGTGGGAACCATTCTATAGAAAAGTAAGTAAGCACTTTTGTGCATAAGAACAGCAAGATCAGTACCGGAAATACCGGAAGGCTTCACTGCCGGCATGTCATCATCCGTAAGATGCACATCTCCGCACTGATCGAAAAGCATTGCCTGGTAATGACCAAGTGGGTGGCAAGCGCTCCCTTGTGTACACAAAGTCGCCTCCAATGCATAGCATATCTGACAGCACATGTATCCAGGCTATGTGAATCCACAAAGGCAGGAGAGCTGACATGCTCTGGTGGAGACAAAGCCAAGACCGAGGACGTAAGTTGTGTCATCATCCGCAGTATCCACACCTTCTGCAGTAAGAATCCGGGTCTGCAAGTGAATGGAGATATGTGAAATTGCCGCTGCCAAAATTTGCGCAAACTCCGCCACATCATGTTGCACATCCGGATTCTTGGGCATGCAGCAATGACTGTAGGAAAGGCATGGCTCGGGAACAACCTGCTGACAGAGATGGTCTATGTGCTAGGCACTCCAGAGCCGAGCAAGCAGAAAGGAATGCATGTAGCGCACGTTCTTGGGATTCACCAACCTCAGTTGGAGGGGATCTTCTCGATCTGAAGTTGGATGTGGTTGGCGAGGCCAAACGTTGGAGCTTGCCAGTCGGAGATTGAAGGAGGCAACCTGAGCGATCGAGCATTGGCTCAGTGTGCGCAGGATTGTGTAGGCCGCTTGAGCCTCCGATGCTCGGAGACCGATGTCCATGACATAGTGATCATCGGTGCGTCCGGATTCTCCGTGAGAGGACGAAGGGAGTGCAGGCGATGCACGACATTGGGTTGAGGAAACAGCTCCTGCAAGCGCTTGATGTGCTCCATGGCCCGGGAATGCGACAGAGGAGGAATCTCTTTATTGGCCTTGCACTGCTTCGTCTCGGCATCCCAAAGAAGATACTTCCAGCAGTCTTGTTCGTTCATCCAGAGATGGCGATAGCCCTCCCCTTCCTATGCGTAGCATGCTCCTCCACTTGCTTCTGAACCTCACCCATCATGAACATGAACATGCCGATTGTCACTTTGAGCGACATGCTGACCTGATTCTGGTCTTTGTTTCGCCTCCACATCTTGATCCACGATGAGAGCGACACTTGTGTGCCCCCTTTTGGTGGCCGTTGCCCTTCCCGTTCCCTGTCTGCTGTGACTTCGGCTGTGGTTGCGAGAGCAAGGAAATTTTGTGAGCCTTAGCGAGGGAGCGAGGTGCTTTTGCATGTGAGAGACATCTGGGAATTCTTGGCCACACTCTGGGCAGGCGTGGGTCTCAAGGGCAATGTGAGTGATTTCACTGAGACTTTGTGAGGCCGTGTGGGTTGATGACTGTGGTATTATCGTTTTCGGGGCATGGAAGGCACTCAGAGTTGCCTCGGTCATCTCATTCCACTCAGCAACTCGCAGTGGTTGCATGTATACAAGGACCACGGCTTGCTCGCAACAGCGCTCCACATCACAGGCGAGATGTGCGACAGGGGCCTCAACATGCGTTTGTCGAATATCTGCTGGTTAGTCTCGCTCTTGTCGTAACTGTGGCTGCTTGGCCACGAGACCAGATATATCCCTAAGGACCTTTTCGTTAAGGCCAGAAGCGGCTTGACCGTAGAGGAGGACCGGCTGAACAAGAGACGACCAGAGACGGACTCGCATCCGCAGACTGAGTGCACGACAATCCCGAAGGACCTGTGTGAGCCTCGCGAAGGTCTGTTTCCAATGCGCGCAGGTCTGCTGCCAAATCCATTGACAGACAGCATGATCCCCAGGTAGGGGTGCGACTGACACAGGGGAATCAGGGGAAGTCACCATTTCGCTGCACGCACGCCTTTGCCAGTGGCCAGTGTGCAGAGAACGTTCTGAACTTGGGACCTCGCAGCTCAAGCAGAAAAATGGATTTGTCGGGGCTTACCTCAAGCTCACACTCGTCAAGGACGTCGAGAATGACCTCCGCGTCCGGGAGACTTCGCCGCAGGTCTGCAGCCGATTGAATGACCCAAGTGCCGAGGTTGTCATCGGCGTACACGGACATTCCTTCTTTCATGAAGCTTGCAGATGTACGCTGAGCAATTCGACTCAGGATGTGTCCTGAGGCAATAGCCCATAATTGCGGAAGCAATGGACCATGGACAGCCTTGTCGAATCCCTCTGCCGGCTACCGCTTCAACATCATACAAAGAGTCAGCAGGGTACTTCCGCCTGCAAGTGCTTAACCAGTTTAGTTGCTGCATGGGGTAATTTGATCCTCCTTGTCACTACAGAGAGTATGTTTGAAACGTTTGCAGCAGTATTGAAGATGGTATCGTTTTCTGCAGGGAGCGAGTGCCCACGTTCCCAGAAAAAAATGTTTTGGACATAGCTTTCTTTTCATACGAGGATACTAGCATACAGATCCGATTGACTTGTGACTGGTCATCTGGTAAAAAACGAGTGTGCATGCATTCAACGGTAGCACAAAAGGTGAGTCCATCCAGATGCTCATGGTGCTGAGCTTGTGCAGCAACTTGCCTTGCCAAGTTTGTCTACGGTATACAGCTTGATCTGTACAAGGTTTGGTCCTTCCCTTGTCTCGCGATTTCATCACCATGACCAGAAGATGTCCTCCACCTCATGTCCCTAAAAGGGGCAAGTCTCGACAAGTTCGACTCTCGAAGCTCATGCAGCTCCGAAGCGACACTTGGAAACACAAGTGCTCCTCAAGCAAGTGCGGAGCTTGGCTGAATCCGCATCACCTTCATCCCCTTTTCACAGAAGGGAGTGGTTCAACATCGACGTCGCTGCAAGCCAAAGCGTCTGTGCTGTTACTGCTCTTCCTCCGCGTCCCGGTGTCCACTTATCCATCTGCTCACGCATGTGAACCACAAGACTGTTGAGGACATGTACCACAAGATGTGTGAACTGCGCAGAAACTATGTGTAGAAGGAGGAGAAGAAGATCACATTCGGCATTGGGCAGTCTTGGAAAGACGCTGAGGCGGATGAAACCACCTTCGACAACCGTGACAATAGCTCCTCGGTCGAATTCCAGCGCCTCATCCACGACAAGAAGTCTACTTGGATGTGGGAGCAATGGGCGGGTGTTGTTCAACGGAGTCGTCCCGAAACACTTGTCTTGCATAGGCTCAACCCGAAGGTGACAGTCAAGAAAGCCCCCGGACCGGGCACAGTTCCCAAGATTGAGTGGCAGACTCTCGGGAACAAGCTTTTGAAGGGCCGGAAGGTGGTTTTACACACGGACTCAGCAAAATCCGACAAGGCGTACATCGACGGGGTCATCCACGACGGTGTGGTTCATTGCAAAAAACGGGTGAAAGTGAATGGCCGTTTCAAGTGGATTAATCCCAAATACGTAGGAATTGTTGAGCACAAACTTCCTGGCAGTCAGAAGATTTTGAAATGCAAGTCAAGAACTCAGGTGATCGATAGAGCCTGGCGGTGTTTGAAAGATATGATCGTCATAAACCAGAATTGCAAGGCCGATTCCAAGTTGCTGCGTGCAAAGTTGCGCTCAGCACAATATGAATACTGGAACAAGCAGATCTTTGGCTCCATACCGGGGTGTTGTGTCACGTGTGTCAGGCTCACATGCAGCGCATGTTGGCAGAGTGAGATCGTCGTCCTATCATCCTTGAGAATGCAATACTGTCTGAGTTGTGATTTATATACCTGCAAACAAAGCCACTCATACTGAGCCATGTCTGCATCCTTTTTGCCCTTTTTTCGAGAGACGTGCCGGATCTGACTTTCGTTTTTGGAGAGCGTGTTCTCGGAGCAATTCCTTCTGCACCCACGAAACGAGAAAAAAGAACCGGCAAGCTCCCAACGGCATCTCAACATGTATGTTCAGCATGTCTTTGTGTTGTCGTCGTTTTTGTCAAACTGTTTATTTATCTATTTATATATATATATACGCGACGATTCATTCACTGTAATACTCTGAAGGAACTGTTTTGTTGAGTAAGCACGTATAGAGACCAGCAAGGTGACGTGATCTGTAAATACTACGACCCACCGTACAAGTCTGCTCCAAGCGGAGACAAGCCACTCACGGACGAGGACATGTTTTGCTACTGGCCAAGCTGACAAATTTCTGACACATTACCCATTTTTGTCACACTGTCAAGCGAGATCATCCAGCTGAGCTTTCGTTCAAAGAAGAAGTTCAGCTATGGATCGGCTTGAGCAAGCATATGATAAAGAAGCCATGATGGTGCGACTGAACGGTCATGTGGCCTAAATAGAAGTTAGCAGCTAGCAGTCAGACACGTGTATCTTGCCCGCAGTTGTGGTGTGTTTTAACAAGCCAGACTTGGGGTACCGGCGGGGGGGGGGGGTTGGGTGGCTTAAATAGGGTCTATTTGGAAGCTGGCACTCGGGTTTTGTTGTAGTCATATACTCTCCCACGAAGGCAGACTGGCTGATACCAACGAGCTAGAGTACGTATTGGAGCAACATTCTGTTGTGCAGAGACTGTAAGAGA